TTTGGGAACCAAAGTGCAGTGGTTCCCAAACTTTTCAGCTTTTGACCCACAAAATAACAGTAGCAGAGACCTGTGCCAACAACTTTTTTTTGGATGGTAAACAATTGCATCAGGTCAACTAAACAAGGGCATAGTAACAATATTTTTTATACTACATTTATCCATTTTAATTATACTAACCTCACTCCTTTGTAACAACTAAGGAAAAAATGTGATTAATTCAGAAAAAAATTTCAGGACCCCACCTTGATGTTTTGGGACCCCACTTTGGGTCCCGACCCCAACCTTGGGAAACACTACCATAGAGTGTTAACGAGCTATAGTGTTAAATACTTTTACTCGATTCATTCTTGATTTTGACACTAAAATGAGTAAAATTAACTCTGAAAGGTTTACACTGGCTATAGAGTACAGTTTACACTAATTTTGAGTGAGACCAAATGTTATATGAAACAGAGTTAAATTCAACTCTGTGTGTGTTAAAATTACACTTTGTTTTTTACTGTGTACTTTGAACACAAACTGTTGCTGAACCTAGACCTGACCAACTGCAGCAACCCCACATCATAGACCTTAGATCCAGGTGGGGATTTTTTTTTTTTTTTTTTTTTGGCCAGGCAGCATAAAATCAAAGCCAGCTGAAAGAAGATGCAGGATGAGCTATAGAAACAAACAAGATATAGGAACAAAAACGCTTTAGGAACGAACAAACAAGCTAAGGAATAAACAAACAAACAAACAAGCTATAACAACAAATAAACTATGGGCACAAACAAGATAAAAGAAGGCACAAGCTATAGGAACAAATAAGCTATTGGATTAAGCTGCCTGAACATTACTCAAAAATGAGACTCCAAATAACAGCAAGATAAGTTTTCCCACACTGATGAAACAAACATGCCAAAAAAGGACAAAAAAAATAAAATAAAACATTTATAACATCAGGAACATCAACAATATTTACAACAAGAACATTTTAACTTGTTTGTCTCAAAAATAAAACCTCAGACGTCTCAAACGAGGTCATAAACTCTTCTCATGTCAGCATTTTAGTTCCTTCTGCTGCTTATTTTTCTCCATTCACTGAAAGGAGCTTTAAAGGATTGTTGGTTTCTTCTGTTTTCTAACTTTCACATTAAAACATGTGGAAACACGAGGAACTTGTTTCATGGATTGCTTCTCTTTTCCCCCGCGACACTTTGCAGCTCAGACTGAAGCCACATGAAAGAGCTGCAGACAGAAACAAAAAGAGACTCTAACCACGACAAACATCAGCTCCAAGTTCTGTTCTGGTTCCAAACAAATACACGTTTTCTTTTTTTTTTAATGCCATCAAACTAAATCCCAAATTTTCTCTTTGAGACTGCTCAGTTCTGGAAAAGTCCAATCTTTACGTTTCCTGAGACAGACTGTGACATTTTGTCCTTGTTAAAGTTGTACAGGCATCAGGTTTGAGCTCCACAGAGGAAAAGTTTGGATTAATTTGCTGATTGTCCAGGTTTTAAATCAGACATCTGCTCCATTCTTCACAGAACAATGTTAAACTTTGAAAGTAATCGTTTTTAATCCCACAAGCTTTATTTTCTGTCTATTTCAGCTGAAAGTCTTGCTTTGCTTCTGTAGTTCTTTATTTCTTCTAGAAGTTTCACTAATCAAACTACTTCTGTGGACTTTGTGCTAATTGAGTCATTACTATTTTAGCACATTCAGCTCATGCAGGAGATGGGTGCTTTGACTTTTGGTTTTTATAACTATAGTTTTCATAGTACTTACCTTTATTTTTAAAATAGTATATCAAGGTCTCTTCTATTCTTTAAAAAGTTATCCTTAGCTATTGGATTTGTTGTTTTCGTGTTTTAAATATAGAGCTAGCCTTATTTTATTTTTAGCTTTTAGCTTATTCTGCTACTGTTAGCTTTAAGATGTGTTTGATACATTTAACTTTTAGTTACCGTTCGATTATTTTATCTTTTAGCTATAGTTTAGCAAATTTTAGCTACATTTTTGCTATATTTGGCTATTGATCTGCTGCTCTTAAGTTTAGGCTGTTGTTCTACTGCTTTCAGCAACTTTGTGTAACTGATACATTTTAATGTTCTTTAATACTATTCTGCTGCATTAAGCTAATATTTAGCTGGTTTTAGCTGTTATTTTTTCTGCATTAAGTTTTTAAATAGTGTTCTGCTCATTCAGCTTGTTTTAACTGAAATAACTCATTTTTACAATCTTCAGTAAAACTATACAGCGGGTAAAATAAGTATTGAACACGTCACCATTTTTCTCAGTAAATATATTACTAGAGGTGCTAATGACATGAAATTTTCACCAGATGTCGGTAACAACCCAAGTGATCCATAAATACAAAGAAATCAAACCATAAATGTCCAGAAATTAAGTTATTTGTAATAATGTGGAATGGCACAGGGAAAAAGTATTGAAAACATGAAGAAAGGGAGGTGTAAAAAGGCATGGAAAGGCAAGACACCAGCTGAACTCTCTCAGTAATTAGAAAGCAAGCCAACCCCTTGCCAGTGCAAGTCAATATCAGCTGGTTCAGTCCCAAATGATGGCCAGGTATCACACAAGAACCATCTGATGATGGGTAAAAGTAAAGAGCTCTCTCAAGACCTTCACAACCTTATTGTTGCAAAGCATAATGATGGCATCGGTTACAGAAGAATGTCTAAACTTCTGAAGGTTCCAGTGAGCACTGTTGGGGCCATAATTCAGAAGTGGAAAGAACATTATTTCACCATAAACCGACCACGACCAGGTGCTCCTCACAAGATTTCTGACAGAGGAGTGAAAAGAATTATCAGAAGAGTTGTCCAAGAGCCAAGGACCACTTGTGGAGAGCTTCAGAAAGACCTGGAATTAGCAGGTACGATTGTTTCAAAGAAAATAATAAGTAATGCACTGAACCACCATGGCCTGTATGCACGCTCACCACGCAAGACTCCACTGCTGAAGAAACAGCATGTTGAAGCTCCTTTAAAGTTTGCTGCACAACATTTAAACAAGCTTGTGTAATACTGGGAGAATATAGTCTGGTCAGATGAGACCAACATTGAACTGTTTGGATGCCAGAATACACATCATGTTTGGAGGTCAAATGGCACTGCACATCAGCCCAAAAACACCATACCAACAGTGAAGTTTGGAGGTGGGAACATCATGGTGTGGGGCTGTTTTTCAGCATGTGGTACTGGCAAACTTCAAATAATTGAAGGAAGGATGAGTGGAAAAATGTACAGAGACATTCTTGATAAAAATCTGCTTCCATCTACCAGGATGATGAAGATGAAACGTGGCTGGACATTTCAGCAAGACAATGAGCCCAAACACAAAGCCAAGGAAACTCTCAGTTGGTTTCAGAGAAAGAAACTAAAGCTGCTGGAATGGCCCAGCCAATCACCTGACCTGAATCCAACAGAAAATCTATGGAAAGAACTAAAGATCAGAGTTCATAGAAGAGGTCCATGAAACCTTCAAGATTTGAAGACTGTTTGTGTGGAAGAATGGGCCAAAAATCACACCTGAGCAATGCATGCCACTAGTTTCTCCATACAGGAGGCGTCTTGAAGCTGTCATTGACAACAAAGGCTTTTGTACAAAGTATTAGATAAATTTCAGTAAGTGTGTTCAATACTTTTTCCTTGTGCCATTCCACATTATTACAAGTAACTTCATTTCTAGACATTTATGGTTTGATTTCTTTGTATGTATGGATCACTTGGGTTGTTACCAACATCTGGTGAAAATTTCATGTCATTAGCACCTCTAGTAATATATTTACTGAGAAAAATGGTGACGTGTTCAATACTTATTTTACCTGCTGTATATGAGGTCAACCCTGATCCTCGTGACATGTTTAAATGTTTTTCTGCTTCAACACACTTGACTAAAATGACTGAGTGATTGACAGTCTTGAAGACATTCTGATTATTTAAAGTCAAAGCAGGGAAACAGCTAAAACACGCAGGATGGAGGGTCACGGAGAACATGTTTGATGACCTCTGGTTTACATCTTTCCTCCTGTTGATTTCTTTCCTGTTTTTTTTTTTCAGCTGGTCGTCTGAACATGAAGGTTCGGATCAACGCCACCGGCGACACCATCGTCATGAAGTTTGTGCGCCCGAGTTCAGACGTAAAGCTGGAGGGCTACATCCTGGGATACGGCAGCAGCATGTTCTCCAAACAGTTCATCCAGCTGCCTGAGAACGGACAGCCGTACCAGACCGAGCTGGGTAAGAAGTTCTACAGAACCTCATGGGAACAGGAAAGTCTTTGCTAATGTCCAGACTTCTCCATCGTGGGAAACAAAGCAGAACACGAGACGTTCTGAGTCTCACAGAACCAGCAGCAGGTGGTTCTGATCCTTTTTTTAGAACCGCTGCCAAAAACTCAGATCCTATTTTGATGAAAAGTGAAACCCCCGAGTGAGGGGGATTATTAGATCCAGACCTGAATCCTGGATCAGGTTCTCTTCGAACAGCAGGATGTGGGTTTCCTGTGAGGTTCTGAGGATATTATGTTGGTCTTCATGTTTTTTAAGACTATTTTTGAACTTTCCTGTAAGTCCTGAAAATTGTGAAAATTGATTTGATTCTATTTTTGATTAAAAAGATAAACTTTGTTTCTTGAAACAACAAAACCGATCAGTTTCAGACCCATCTGAGTGATACCACTTTAATTTCCTTATATTTGCTGAAACAGATTATTGTCCGCTAGCAACAGGCATGCAATAATGTAATAGCCTGTTTGTTTTTGTGTCTGTTAGCAAAATATCTGATGAACCACAGGGTGGATTGGATGTTCCTCTGCTAGGTTTTGGTGTCAGTTTGATTCCACAGCTAATCAACCTCTGAAAACATAAAAAACCCTCTGATTTAGTTAGTTTTTTAGATGGTGAACAATAATTTGGTGTGTTTTAGCTGAGAGTCTCATTGTACAAGATCTTTGCTTTAAATGTTGTCATAAAGTTAACTGGTATTATGCGTTTATATAAGGATTTTTTGATCTTTAAAGTATGTTTGAAAAAACTAAAATGGTGTAATTTCTTTCATATCTGGCAGGCATTTGTTTTTTTTTAAATATTTTTCCCATTCTCCTCTTATAAAAAATGGACAAACTTCATCGGTTGAAATTGTTCTTAAAATATTTTGTACGGATCTGTTTTTAGTTGTAGAAAAAAAATACATTTAAACACTAAAAACCCAGAGGCAAAATAATCAAACACAGATCAGATAAATTAGCAAGAATCCAAACAAACCCTCGCGCTGTCTTTGTGGGGTCCATATGACCCCACTCATGTTTGGTGTGGTGGTGGGGTCCTCCTGACCCCCCACCTGATTAAGCGTGGTTGGAGGGGCAAAGCAGGGTTGTTATGGGGTCATTACGTGGTGTTTGTGGGTGGCCTGGCTGGCTCCCCAACTGGCAGCCATGACTTTTACTTTCTAGCTTTGTTAGCACGTCGCAATAATTCAGAATGAATCCAGACTCTGTGTCAGACACGTTCAGGTGCTGCTGGGATAATCGGATGTCTGCGTAAGGTTTCCTCTCCGCAGATAAACGAGTCCCAGGTGACGAATTATAATCTCATCTGAACAGTTGGTTTTCAGGAGGACGTCCACTGGGAGACATTTCCCTCAATGTCTCGTGTCCACCTGTGAAGTAAAGGATGGGTTTTAAAGACTTTTTGCTGCGTTTCTTTCGTCAGCCGAGTATCATCCATCACCGCCGCAGTGTTGACTCTTTAAATCCCCCGCTGTCGGTGGTTTCTGGGCTTTCGATGTTTTTAACCACATGAGACACAGATGTGGCTTCAGGGACACTCTGCTGTTTCCTCTGAGGGGAAACCATGATTTTATTGGACTTTAGTGGGAAAGAAAGGCTTCATAACTTCTTAAAACATGCAGAGTTTGAATTATTACACAAAAAAACAGAGAATATGCTCTTGCTGTAAATAAATCAGAGCCAACATTTCTGGTCTGGATTATTGATTGAAACTCCGTATATATGGGACGGTGTGTTCAGATTAACTCTGTCTGATCATAAATTCATAGCTGAAGACTAAAAGATTAAAAAAAAGAACCTGCAGAAGGAGATGTGTATGTGGCCAAAACCAAATCTGGATAATAATAAAATGAAATCATGGAAAGCTGTCAGTCTGGACTAACACAAGATGAAGAAGAAAAGCAGGAGCTGTTTGATTTGGATGGAAATCAGAAGCCGTGAGCCGTTTCATGTGTCCAAACTGTTGTCTTTTAAACAGAAAAACCTTTGTCTATAATGGTTCCCATCTGTCCATCTGTGAGGGACACAATACCCCGCCAGGACATCGTCACTATAGCTGCGTATTTCCACCGACACAGTTCAGCATTCCTCGCGTGTTTCTGCTACTTTGAGCCCCAACAGGACGAGTGTCAGACTCTGGTAAACATCAGCTATAAAAATACTGTATTAAATCACTTATTGTTGATTTAAACAAAGTTTCATGTAATTTTATAGAAATTTGTGACTCTGATCATAGACATGTGAATGAGTATTGTCTCATTAACCAGCAGCAGAGCGATTTACACTCAAAGATTAAAGTTTCTCTGCATGCACTGAAAAAACAAACTTTTGGGTGTAGTAACATTTATTTAATTATTCTTTTAAATTTTACAAAAAAATATCAAAATCTCTAAACTACTAGAATTTACTAAATAAGCAATACACATTATATTATATATCAATATTAATGTACAAAAAAGTAAATGCTAATATTATTTTACCAGTAATATTTAAGTACTTTTTCTGGACGGCACATAAACAAGAATATATTAAGTAACTTCTACTG